CCTGCGGACAGAGCGTCACCGGGGCCCGGCGCCGGGTCACCGCACCCCGACGGGGTGGGGGCACCCATCCCCCCTTTACAGGCGAGGAAACAGACGCGGGGCGAAGCCGCTCGCCCGGGGTCCAGGGTGCGCAGGCCCCCAGGTTCCTCCCCGGCTTCGCTCTGAGCCTGTCCTCCCCTGCAGCCGTGTCTGCTTCAGGGACCATGACTGCCCCTCCACGGGGAGGCGGACGCGGTCTGAGTGACTCATGGCATTAAAGGGGGGGTGGGGGGGCAGCCTTGCCTGGTGGGTAAGAGCCTGGGCTGTGGGGTGGGGCAGCCTGACCTGGACCTGACTCCTGCCTTGGTTTTCCAGCTGTGATCATAAATCCTCTCTCTCTCTCTCTCTCTCTCTCTGTCGGGAGGTGGGGTCGCTGGGCATGAACCGGCCTCAGATCAGCCTCCTCTCCGGTGGGTGAACTGGTGCGGCCGGTGGGGTGAGCACTCGCTGGGTCTGGTACCCCTGAAAGCCCTTGGTGCAGACAAGACCTTTTCATCCTCACCCCAGGGACTGAGGTGGGTACGAGTAGAATTATCTCTGAAGTACAGATGAGAAAACAGGCTGTGGGGGAAAGCCACTTGCCCTGGCTCCTAGCCAGCAGTCATGATCACAGTCAGTTATAGAGACAGCCCGGCAGGCGTGGCTCAATGGGTGAGCATCGACCTATGAACCAGGAGGTCATGATTCATTCCCGGTCAGGGCACAGGCCAGGGTTGCCGGCTTGATCCCCAGTGTGGGGCCTAGGGGAGGCAGCCGATTGATGGTTCTCTCTCATCATTGATATTTCTCTCTCTCTCCCTCTCCCTTCCTCTCTGAAATAAATATTAAAATAAATAAATAAGTCACTTGACCTCGAGCTTCAGATGCTGGGAGGAGATGGGGACTGAGGTTTCCAAATCCTTCCCGGAGGTGGCTCCCCTGGAGGGAGGACGTGGGCACTGGGCTGGAAACCAGAAGGAGGGGGAGGAACAACACCCTAATTCTAGTGTTGCCTTGCCACCAGCTTCCTGTGTGACCTTGGGACATCGCTCACCCTCTCTGTGCCTCGGTTTCCTTAATGTTTAAGTGAGGGACTGACTGAGACTGTCGGATGCTCCGTGGCCTTTCTAGTTTGGGCCTCTTGAATGTGGAGCCTTCAAGGACAGGAGGTGACATGAAACAGCTGTGGGGGTGGGGGGTTTCACAGGGACACCCGGAGCCCTGGCTGTGGAGTTAGATAGACCCCGGTTTAAATCCCAACTGTACCACCAGCTGTGCGGCCTGGGGCAAATCACCTCACCTTTCTGTGCCTTCATGGAAAAAAAACAACTTTTTATTATTAAAAAAAAAAAGTAAAACGTAGAGCCCTAGCCAGTTTGGCTCAGTGGATGGAGTGGGTCACAATGTGGACCCTTCAGACTGTGGAACCGGGCTCGATTCCAATCAAGGGCCCAGGTTACGGGCTTGATCCCCAGTGTGGGGCGTGGAGGAGGCAGCCAGTCAATGATTCTCTCTCATCATTGATGTTTCTATCTCTCTCCCTCTCTTTTCCTCTTTGAAATATATATATATTAAAGTAAAACAGAGAGAATAAAATGAACTCATATATCCACTCAGCTTCAACAAGTCTTAACTTCTTGCTACATTTGCTTCATCTAAACCACATTAAAGTAAATTATAGACACCAAGAAACTCTGTCCCTAAATAATTTAGCATTTGTGTACAACGTAAGAGAACATATCTCCCATAAGCACAGAACTAGCACACCTAACAAAATCAACAATGATTCACTTATCTTATCTAATATCAAGGTCATACTAAAATTTCCTCAGCCCTGTAGCTCAGGTGGTTAGAGTGTCTTCCCATGGTTGCTGGTTCGATCTCAGGTCAGGGCACAAAGAAGTGGAACAACAAACCAATCTCTCCGCCCCCCCTCTCTATCTCAAATTATAAAAATTTCCCCAGTTGTTTCTAATCTATATTTTATGGATGATCTACTCACACCAGGAGCCAGCCAAGGCTTTGCGGTGCATTTGGTTGCTATGAATCTCAAGTCTCTGAGCCTCCATTTTGCTCATCTGAGAAATGGGAAGAACATTACCTGCCTCACACGGTGCACAGCACAGAGATCATACTGTTCGGGGTTATGCTGGTGCACCCTGAAAAGTGAACTATTTTAGCTTCCTTGCCGGGTTGTTCTGCTCAAGGCAGCAGTGGGGTGGGGTGCGGGCAGCGAGGTGGGGCGCCCTGCGACGTCAGCAGCATGGGTTAGGGATAAGGAGTCAGCGATCCCCAGCACCCTCAGAGATAAGGACCCTCAAGCTGGGTGTGCCCGCCCTGGCCTGGGATGGAGAAGCCCGGTCTCACCTTCACCAGCTTCAGCACCCGCACCTCCTGGTCCAGCCCACACTCTCCCTCGAGGGGCTCCTCCCTCAGGGACTGCTCCACGGTCTTCACGGCCTCCAGCACCTCTTCCTTCCACTCCCGGCTGGGCTGCAGGCACTGAGCCACGAAGGAGTCCAGCCTGGAGGCAGGGGTGCTGTACAGCTCCATCTCCGCGGACAGTGCCATGGCTGTGTGACAGCACCCCAGCCAGGCAGATATGTAGTCACACACCCAGCTCCTGGTGTGCACGCCCTCCCCCCGCCCCGCCCGCTTTTTTAAGGGAGCGCCTCCTCAGTTACCCTCTAGCACCCTGCTGGGATAACAGACCATCGCGGAGAGGAAGCCAGGAGCGACGGGGCTGATCTGGGGCGCCGTCCTGGGGGACCCCTGGCTGTGGCAGAGGCACAGAGGGGCACTGAGCTGAGGTTGGGAGGAACAGGGCCACCTTAACAGGCTTGGCTTCTGGCCCAACTTTCTGCCATTGGTTTCGATTCTCAACTTTTTGAGTTTCCTTTCAGTGACGTTTGGAAAGTGAAATTGGCTGGAGCTGGTCCTTAGAAGAGGCCACTCTCCCAGGAGGTCAGAGTTGGATGGGATCCGTCAGTCCGGCCGCCCCACCTTGTCACACAGACTGCGGCTCAGGCAGGGGCGGGGTTTGCTCACGGTGGGGACTCAAGTCAGGTCGAACAGACTTTATATTTTTAATTTGAATATTTTTATTTGTTCTGTGACAGTTGATGTTGAATATTATTTTGTATTAGTTTCAGGTGTACAGCATCGTGGTCAGACAATCATATACTTTACACAGTGTCCCTGGGGTTTCCAGTCCCCACCTGGCACGGTACACAGTTATCTCAACGCTCTGGACTGTATTCCCTGTGCTGGACTTTTCGTCCCTGGGGCTGCTTTGCAACTGCCAGTCTGCACTTCTCAATCACCCCACCTTTTTCACCCAGTCCCCCTCCCCTCTGGCAACCCTCAGTCTGTTCTCTGTATCTATGGGTCTTTTTCTGTTTTGTTTGTTCGTGTACATTGTTCTTTGGATTCCACATAGAAGTGAAATCAGATGGTATTTGTCGTCCTCTGACTTAATTCACTTAGCATAATGCCCTCTCGGTCCATCCAGCTGTCACACAAAATGGCTGAGTAATATTCCATGGACCTATGCACCACAGCTTTAAAAAAATCCACTCGTCTGTGGATGGCTGCCTGAGGTGCTTCCATAGCTTGGCTATTGGGAACAACACTGCAATGAACATGAGTCCGCGTACATTCTTTCAAATAAGTGTTCTGAGCTTCTTCAGATATAGTCCCAGACGTGAAATCCCCGGGTCGTAAAGCAGTTCCATTTTAGTTTTTTGAGGCAACTCCATCTGCCTTCCACAGTGGCTGCCCCCGTCCGCGTTCTCGCCAGCAGTGCAGAGGGCTCCCTCTTCTCCACACCCTCGCCAGCACTTGTTTGTTGACTTGTTGATGGTAGCCATTCTGACAGGTGTGAGGTGATATCTCATTGTGGTTTTCATTTGCATTTCTCAGATCATTAGTGTCATTGAACATCTTTTCATAAGTCTATTGTCCATCTGTATGTCCTCGCTGGGAAAATGTCTGTTCAAGTTCTTTGCCCATTATTTATTTATTTGTTTGCTTATTTATTTTTGTAAGAGAACATTTATTGGGTAAATTATGGAGGTGGAAAAAGTAATTCCTAGAAGAAATGGGCTTAGGAAACATGTTATAGAGCTAAAGGAAGGGCCCTTGGAGTTTGGGAGTGAAGGAGCTGATGGTAACAGGCCTGGGTGGGGAGGGGAGGGGAAAGGGAAGGGCACAGAAAGGCACGCCCATTTGTTAATTGGATAGTTTTGGCGGGGGGGGGGTTGGTGTTGAGTTGTATGAGTTCTTTATAAGTTTGGATAGTAACCCCTTATAGATGTATCATTGGCAAATATCTCCTATTAAGTGGGTTGTCTTTTCATTTTGTTGATGGTTTCCTTTGCTATGCATTTTTTTGTTTCCCTTGCCCCAGGAGATGTATCAGAAAAAAATATTACGAAGAGAGATGTCTGAGAGTTTACTGCCTATGTTTTCCTTTAGGGGTTTTATGGTTTGAAGTCTTACATTTAGTTTTCAATCCATTTTGAGTGTATTCTTGTATACGGTGTAAGAGGGTGGTCAAGTTTCTGTTCGTATCTATCTGTCCAATTTTCCAGATAGTTGGTGGTGGAATCTTTAGGGTTCTTGAGATACAGTCTCATGTCATCTGCCTGACAGAGCAGACTTTAAATTCCAGTTAACGCTGTACAGACTCTTAACCGTTTGACCCCGTGCCCATAGGTGGTCATGCAAATTAAGCATGGGAATATTGAGCAGAGAAAGCGCTGACTAAATGCAAGTATTATTCATTTACTAATTATCTAGTGAGTGTCTTCTAGGTGCCAGACATTGCACTAAGAAGACAAAATGAGACTGGTGCCTGCCCCAAGAGGCACCCGGAGCAGCAGAGGAGCCGAACTAGGGACTGAGAGCGGCGTGTGCCGGCGGGAAAGGGCATGGAAACCTGGCGGGAAGCTGGCAGAAGAGGATCTCTGGGTCACCTCTGATGTCGGTGGACGCCTGACTGAGAAGAGTCTTAAAAGACTGGGGATGTGGCCAGGAGGAAGCGGGCACAGGTGAAGACAGAGAAGCGTGAACTACCCAGGTGTGTGCCGAGGACTCAGAGTTAAATATGCCTGGCATGGAGGGTTAAGAGGGGGAGACGGAAAGGATGTGCCTAGACAGGCGGGCAGGAGTTTAATCTTGGAGTGCCATTCACTCATTCATGCATGCATTCATTCAACGAACATTCTCTTGAGCATCTATCATGTGCCAGTCAGGAGTTGGGCATAAAGCAGTGAACAGGCAAAATTCTCTGCCTGCAGAGGGCTTACTTTCCGATGGTGAAGACAGACAAAAACAAGATAAAATTATAGTAAATGAGATGGTGATAAGTGCTAAGCAGGAAAATAAAGCAGAGAAAGAGGTTAAGAGGTAGTGTGTGTGTGTGTGTGAGTGTGAGAGTGTGTGTGTGTGTGTGTGTGAGTGTGTGTGTGTGTGTGAGCTGTTCTTGAAATGCTTG